TTAGGACCTACTCTGGCATAACTCTTCTCTCCTGGTGGTGCACACTCCTCCCTTGCTCTGACCATTATTGCTGTAATCAAGCAGTTACATTATGTGCTGCACTTAATTGCCACTCTGTCATGGCATACAATGAATTTATTATTGATTCAGTATTCACTGTTTTTTTTGTAGATGGAAGATTCAGAGGGAACAGTGAGGCAAATAGGAGTGTTTTCTGAAGGCATCAACAACTTGACAGTAAGGCTTAAAAGTGGGGTCTGTGGAATAAGATCTCTATTTCTCTAAGATGGGTATAAACCCCTTGGCAGTCACTAGTATTAAATAGTGATGCTGTTTAATACAAATACACTAAGTACAACTTCTTTTTGCTGTTAGCGGCTCTGTCAAGCAGCTGAGTTTTGTAGTTTGGGGGCAGTTGCTTTGATCAATCTCAGCACGTGGCAGGCCTTGGTCTTTGGTTAGCCTACTGGTCTCAGAGGGCTAAAATATATACAGTGTAAATTATGGGTATAGTGAAGCCTCATCAAACTCGGGGTTAGTTGAGGTTCTCTGGGTTTTGTACACGGATGGAGGGGAAAAGAAAACTTGGTGCTGTAAGAAGATACTTGCCCATTGTGGCAGGAGGTTCTGCTGGCTGGTGGCCCATGGTTGCCAGCTCTCCTCACAGAATCACCACCCTCTGGCGAGGGCACAGGTCAGTGGTTTGCCCTTGGGTGGTGAGTGGCCAGCTGAGGATCGCAGCACATTTTCTGGGTGGAAGCCCAGCTCCAGCCTGTGCTCCCCGAGCCATTTAGGCCAGCAGGCAGCAGTGAGCTGGCTTTTCAGCAGCATGGGTGATAAATGTCCTCAGCAGAGCAAAGCAGCGGCTGGCAGGGCTGATGGTGGTGTTTGCTGCCAGGCACAGAACTGGACCATCCCAAGTGCCTGATTTCAGTTGTGGGGGCCTGAACCTTGACTTTTCCCTCCTTTCCCTTCTAGCACATGTTGAAGGAAGATGAAATGTTTAAAGACTTTGCAACTCGCTCTCCTAGCACCAGTATAACAGATGAGGACTCCAACGTGTGACAGTAACCACCAGGCACTGGCAAAGGCTCACTCACTTTCGTATGTGCAAGAAACGTCATCATTTACATGACGGGCAGCAGATCATGTACATTACATTGCTCTTGCTTCTGTTTCTTAGAAGTAACACTGGGGGCTGGAGAATTTAGGAAAACAAAAAGGTGCCTACTCTAAAGTTGCCATAAGAAACACCCTGACACTGGTGAATGGTAATTGTTTTTACTATATTTAATGTACAAACTGGTGATTATGTTTCAGAATGTTGCATTTAATTTTATGTGGTATAATAGTGCTCCTTTTGCTTATTCATGGCCTCAGATAATACTTTATATTGTTTCAAATTAACAGTTGTTAGGTAGAAGTATTGTGTCTGTAGATATCATGCACAAGCTTTTTCTACGCTCTCAGCTGAAAACAGATGTTCCTGCTCTTTTTGAAGTTCATTTGTTCAGCACAAATGCAGTTCTGCCCTTCCTACAGTATCCAATGTAGAATTTTAATCATCCATGCCCTGCATAAACCCCCCAGTTGCTCTTGACTATTGCTCTTATTTTTATACAGTTTTATAAAAAAAGAAAAAGGAAAAAAGAAGTATATGAAGTACATATAAAAGCAGAAATTTAGATTTTGTGAGAGAGAGTGATGGAAAGTTTGAGGTGTGGGGGAAGGGAGAGGGTTGTAAAAAAAATTATGCCAGTTTGCATACCAGCTGGTTACTGGAAAAGGCAGGCTGACCTTTGGAACTGTTTTCTCTCATTGCTTTTTACTTAAGTGCACAGTTCAGTGATCTTCCATTTGGGATGATGAAACAATTACAAAGCAGGTTTCTTCTAGCAGTGACTCTGCAGGAGCTGCACATTTTAAAACATCTTCTTTCTTGTTCCCAGCAGCAGTAGTTAGAGCATCCAAACAAGGTGATTAACACTTCTGTGCCATAAAAATTTCCTCTGCGTTGAGAGTACTCCCTGCATATGGAAGAGATATTTCTGTGCTGTGACTAACGTAAAGATGGTGTAGTTGCAAAAAAGTATAAAGTTATATAGAGAAATGTATAGGAAATATATTATTTCAGAATATTAAACCTAAGGTGGGACCTTTTCTCCAAAATTCAGCTATCAAAATCATTTTACCTTCCCAAAGCACAGCTCCTCTGCTTTTGAAGATCATCAGATTTTAATAACTAAGCCAGTGCAAATCTTTTGTCAGACTTTGGGTATTGCAAGGTGTCCTAGCCAAAAGCAAATGGCAGAAATGTAACTCTGTTTATTACAGCGGTCATTCGTACGGTGTTGAACATTGCATGTATTTTATCACAATGGCATGAAGCTTCTTTGCTTTGTAAGGGCAAAAAAAGTACATCTGGAATTGTTCCCTGCGGTGGTGTGTTGCTGTACCAAGCGTTTGTGGCTTGTTTCGTCGCTGTCCTTGCTGGAAGTGAGGCTGTTCCCAACACATTGCTGACATGGTGCAAGGGGTGTCAGATCTGTGCTGACTTTGTGGGTGTCCATGAAACACTATTACCAAAGCTAGGAGAAGAAGAAAGGTTCTTACAGGGTTCAGGGTTCAAGGGCTTCCAGGGAGCTCCCATCATAGATTGGCATAGATTGGAGACACGCTCTAGCATTGTATTATTGTAATTTGATAAGCTGTTGCCAGCCTGGTTCTTTGAAGGATGTGCAGCATAGGCTATTATTTATGTAGCAAGATGAAAAACTTGATGTGGGCCAGTTGTGTTACACATAATATCAAGTGCTGCCATTTTCTCTTTAGTTATTGGAGCCAGGCATAATGTATACGTAAAATAGTTTGTGCTGCTTAACAGTTATCGACAAACAGATCCCAACTGAAGCTTTATTCAGTATTCCTGACGAATTCCTGTCTGTAAATAATTTGCTGACTGTTGATTATTCCTCTGCAGTCTTGGGGGTGTTTGAGCCATTTTATTCAGGCGAAAAGACCCCATTGTGGAACGCCTGCTCTCAGCTTTAGCGTGCAGATGCTTGGGATGGGAATTCAGGGCTCGCTTTCTGTGAATACTCTGTAATATGGTTATTACTCATGTGTAAGTTGAGCTTAAGACCCTGCTCTCCCAAATGCTGCAGCAGCACTGAGAAGACATGGTGCAGGCCTCTGAGCTAAAGTATTCCTCCAGGGTCGATCTCACTAGTGAATATGACTGAACGTTCACAGGAAAAAATAAGGGGACCCATTGACACAATATTATGTGCTGAAATAGGCACAAATAGTCTCTGATTTCTCTTCAATCCAGTGCTAGCCTATCAACAAAGGCAGATGATGGTTTAAGTAAGTCCAGTGTAAGCAGCATTCTGCTCCCAACAACCCCATTCCTGCATTCACCAGTTGGAAGTCAGGTCATCGCTTCAAAGCTGCCTGTCCTCTGAACCTTGGTTATTTTATGGGGCTGGAATATGAAAGCAAGTGATCAAGTCAGGAAGTTTATATGTGCATGTGCACACAATGATACTGTTGGGGTATTTAAATTTGTGTGTGTTTGAAGAGGGCAACATAACTATTGTGTATTGCCACGTAAAATCCAATAAAGTCTGTGGAAAATGCCAAGTGTTTCTGAAAGCTGGTTCCTTTTTAATATAATATCCTTTTTTTTCCCATTTTGTTTCCATAGGAAGCTTATTTTGTTCTATTTAAAAGACACAGGAGAGAAAGAGGGGCAAAATTGCACATTTTTGTGGATTCAGTTTGATTATCGATAGTGCCTGCAGAAGGATTCAGCTAACAGCTAAGAAATCAACTACCCTCAGTCTTTTTACTTATTTCTGGAATCAGATTTGAACCATCTCGGGTTGTTTGCTATGGTGTGATGAGGAAGCGCTTTCTTGTTGCTTGGTGTGTGTACTCCTCAGGGAGTCCTCACAGGGTGCCAAAGGAAAGACCAGCTCTGGCCCTTCTACCTTTATACAGCTACTGTCTCTCTGGTCCCAGGTGTCGTTCCTGTCCCTGTGCCTTCACAGCTCTCATCAGTCATGGGAGCTCCAGCTACTGCATTGTGTTGCTGGGATGAAGGTATGTATGATGATCAAGGTTTTACCCAGCATAGCCCAGATAACAGACCAGAAAATGCAGGATCCCTCTCTTGCGACCTTAATTTCTGTGCTTTTCTTAACCAGCAGATGAACATTTCCTTGGGAACACTGAGGATAAACACTTTGAAACCTAGACTATAATAAACTGTTGTTGTCTGTTTTTTTACAGTAATGAGGAAAAGATAGATGTGTATCCATCAAGAGCCTATGGAAATTAAACCCAGCTTTTTTTCTGTTTGCTTAAATTACATACATGCCTCCAAACCTGAGGACTTATACAGGGCAGCCTGTTCCAGTGCTCTGCCACCCTCAGCATAAAGTTCTTCCTCATGCTGAGGTGAAACCTCTCGTGTTTCAGTTTATGGCCATTGCTCCGTGTGCACTGCCAGGGTACAACTATAGCAGCAGTTAATACTGGGATTCAGGCAACAGCCCATCAGAAAAGACCACTGTGTCATTTCAAGCACCCTGTGGAAGTCCTCAGGTTTGGATGCATGCATTTCTTGGGGTGATTAAAAGAAAAAGGTTGTTTCATGTCCAGGAAACACCCTGTGCCCATGAAAATGACTTCACTGTAATAGTCCTAGAAAGAGATCAAAGGCGTAAGATCAGTCTGGAATGAGATAGCATCAGCTAAAGGAATGGTGCCAGAATTAACAACAAGGAAACAAGCAAAGATGAATTCAGTAGGTGTGAAAGCCACTGGGCCTGTCAGGCTGGTTGCTGTTCAGTCAGCTGCAGAGACACACATAGGAGGAAGCCTGCCTGCCCTACAGAACAGCAGCGGGTTCACAGGGGCTCAGCTCTGCCACTGCCATGACCTTCAGCAGGAGGGTGGCAGGTTAACCATGTGCATGCTCAATAGGTCTGGCTGAACCCAGTGCCTACATAGCCTTTGATGGAATAAGAAGGGACTTCCCTGAGGTGGTCTGCCTATGGAAGTGACCTCCTGCATGGAAAATGGGCCAGAAGGTCTCACACAAGGACAGCCAGCAGAACAAGGCTGAAACTCATCATCTGTGAAGTCTTCAGCCGAGGTGTGGTCCATGTATCCCAAAGGCTGAAGAGCTACTTTGGATCCCCAGAGCAAATTCCAGCCAGCCACAAACACGCTGAGTGAGATTTTTGGTTAACTTCATCAGCTTCTGGCTGAAAAATGGGGTGGAGGAACGCATCACGACTAGCACAATGACCAAGCAGCAGTCTTCCCTGTTTGGGGTGGACTGGATCTGGACCCTGTCTGGAGCTGACAAGCAAATCAAACTTCAACTGGCCATGCAGGCTTTACAGCTGGCTGAGCTTTCCCATAGCTGAGGTGGTGGAGGATTGCTGCTGGGAAGCTGCACTGGCAGATGAGCACTTCCAGAACAGGAGTAGATTTGAGAAGCTGGTGGAGTTCTGCCGCCTGGTGGGACAGGACTGCCTGGGCTTGTTCATCGTATTTGGTGTGCCAGGGAAGCCCAAGGACATCCTAGGAGTCATGCTAGACAGCATTGCCAAGGAGGAGTAAAACTACCGCCTGTCGGGCAGGGATGAGCTATGGCAATTTGGCACCAGTGCTGACGGCTTCCTGCCCACAAAGGGCATGTTGGAAAACTGCCTTGGCACGAAAACTGGACTGAAGGAGGTGGGCAGCATTGTACATAAGCTTCCTGTAAACCACTGGGTACAGCAGTGGCACTCTGCACCCTGGCACCCTGGCTGCGTGGGGCTCAGCGCTGCCTCCAGCTTTTCTTCTCACACAACATTCCCTCCACCCCCTGAATTCCCACCTTCCCCTCCAACCATCACATTCCTTTGGCTCCTGCAGGAGCCAAGCTGAGTCAGTCTCTCCAGGTTTGAAACAACAGGACTCACCTGCCAGAAAAATGTGTTTATAGAAGGCAAGTCATTTTTACAGAACATTTTGTTCACCAGACATTAAGTGTTGGCTGGAGCCGGTGAAGGCTTTATCACCCTAAGCCTTTGGGCAGTCATGGTAGAGCTGACTCACAGCCTTTGGTGCCTCTGTGGCAAGTGTTTTTCTGTAACAGGAGGTTGAGTCTGTAATAAGATGGAATGGTCAAGATTTGCACCTAGCTTGAAGGACAATATCAGAGCTCAGAAGTGCTGGTTTGGAGGCGTGAGCTGGTTCCTAAGAGGTAAAAGCCCTTCCTCTTAGAAATGGCTAGAAATGGGCTGTATGAGAAACCTATTGCCTGTCCCTTAATAGTAGATCAGTGCCAGGCTCTGGAGGGCTTCAGCACTGTGACTGAAAGGCAGGGGCAGGGTCAGTCCCAGCTGCAAGGCCTGTTCCTGCCGAGTGGCTGTGTGAGGGCAAGGAGTGGCTGAAGGCAGTGGCAGGTGCTACAGAAAACTTGGTTAAAAATCAACGAGTGCAGACAAAACCTGGCCCTGGAGATGCGGGTGGGAGTTTTCACTTCTCATGGCAGCAGCGGCAACTCCTCACCACACGTGGTAGAGAGCAGAAGTCTGGAGGAGGCAAAATCAGGTTGCTTTGAATTTGGTTTGAGTAGCTCAGTGGCTGGTTGCGTTTAGCAACTGATTTATTCCATTTCCCTCTGCTTTTAGTGGATAGAGTAAGACTTTGGGATTGCACCATTGTAATTACTTCTTTCAGCCACTGTTAGCCAGGGAAGGAAGACCTGATCAGTTGTCAAATTGGAAAACTCAACTTTGTAGTGGTCTGAATAGTCTGGTCACTGCAAAGCTCCTCTGCCTGTGGTTTTCTTGTAAGTTTAGTCCTTTTATTTAATAGAAAAAAAGTAATTTCAAAAGCTTATTCACATTTTATCCTCCCAGGGTGTGGGAGATGGAAGCGACAGCAGAGGTGCATTGGTGATTGATCACCCAAGGCGGAAGGCTGGGAGAAGGGTCTCTGTGTGGCTGAGGGCTAGGATGGGGAAGCTGCAGCAGCTGAGAAATAAAGGCTATTACTTAGACAGCTTTCCATAGCATAGGTGTGGAGGCTGAAAGGTGAACTGCAATAAGCACATGTAGAACTGTGAGATTTTTGCCAAGTCCTAAATGTAGCTGGGTATGGAGAAGGGAGGCCTTTGGGGTTTAAAATAGTTCATTGCAAAACAGTTGTTTTTAAAGAGCTGCCATCACTGTGGTTTCTTTGTTTGTAGCAGGGGTTTGGTGGGGCAAAGGGGAAAGTTCTTTACATAGAAAACATGCATAGTTTTATGTAGACAACAGATAGTGGGAATATGTGCAATCAATCAGGAGAGTTGTATTGGTTTGGGGTTTGGGGTTTTTTTGCCTGTTTAAAGTAACAGCATAACCAGTGCTGCAGCAGGAGTGCTTGGTTTATAAAGAGCTTTAATTTTGCATTAAATTGATATCTTACTTGCAACTAGGATGTGTCTCTTAAGCTATTCAGTTCTGCAGGAATACTGTTTCTCTGAAAACTGGTTGGGCATTTTCCTTTGGATGTTTTGCATGCTTTTTTTGGTATTGGAAGAGGAAAATCAAAGTGTCTGGACTATGTAGAGTTCCAACTATGGCAGTTACACACTGGGGCAGGTGCTAATGTGATTCATGTTCTTTGAAGCATCCCTGGTACCTTGGGGACATCATGCAGGCTTGGTCTTTCTCCTGGGAGCCAGGGTACATTGCCCAGGCAGCACTACACTCTTCACCCTGTGGGTTTTGGATCAGGAGCCCGGGCCCTCAGCAATGGTGGAAACTAGCCCGGGCTCTGTATCATGGCTGCTAATGGTGAAGATGATACACAACCAAGTATTTAACAACATAACCTTGACAATGTTCATTTATTCAGCCAAGCTGCAGTCTCAGCTCATGTGAGTCACAGCCATACCATGTGCTTCTGTAACCACACACACTGATTTACCAGGCAAGGTGCTGACCTCAGGCAGTTTAATCCCATCATAATTTGTATAATAAGGTTGGTTAGTAAAACCAAAGTGAAGGGGTTGGGTCATGTTGTTGTTGTTTTTCCTTTAGGCATCATTTGCTAATGTATAGTTTCGTATAATGTATAGTTTACATAGTTTAGACTGTAATTGAGCTCAAGATCTCATGGAAGCATAGCTCAAGTGAAGAAAGGCTACCAGAAGAGGATACTTGCAGTGCTGCTGCTGTTGGCTGGTGAGCTTAGCCAGGTAGGTCTTCATAATAAGAAACAGTAGAACACCTCACCCCATCCTTTTTAAAGAAACTTTAAGAAGCATGATTAGCTTATCACAGGATGCAGATAGCCACCCCACCCGGGTCCACCAGGAGTTTCCAACTCAAGCAGAGAAGATCTGGGCCCCTGGTGCCAGGGTTTTATTACTCCAGATAGTGGCTGGCACAAACCTCCCTTCCCTTCCTGTGGCAAAAGGTGCAGCATGGTCTGCATACCCCAAGCTGTGTGAACACTGCCTGGCACAGGCCTTCATCTATAGCCATCCTAGCCCTCAGCCACACAGAGTTCCGAGCCTTCCGCCTTGAATGATCCATCACCAGTGCACTTCTGCTGTCTCTTCCATCTCCCACACCCTGGGAGGATAAAACCTGCATTCCCTCCTGCCCAGACATTTCCCTTCTGCTGCTGCAAGGACTCTAGTTTCTATGGTTAGCTCAGGAAACTGAAGTAAGCTCCATAAGCCGTTAAGTGAAGGGGACCCATCTCTGGTGAAGCCAAAGCAGCAGCAGCAGCCCTTCTCATCCTGTTTCTCTCAGGAAGCTTTCCACAAAATGCCTCTCATGTGGAAGGTTTCCGTTTCCCCTGCTGCTTTGTAACACACACCTTAGTGATACCTTTCCTGTCAGAAAACTGGAGGAACACTCGTCTTTTCTGTAAGAGAGATGAACTGGCTCGAAGAAAATAACTAAGTATGCAAGCCCAGCTTTTACCACTGACTTGTTTAGATGCTCTAGTGCAGGACCATAAGCAAAAGGGACTGTGACACAGTTTTGTTTCAGTAGATTATATAAAATCCCTCTTTTTATTTATTAAAAGAGCCTCATGTTCACAAGGAAGATGTACAAAACAAAGGCAAAAAGAGGAGATTGGAGCGATAGGGAGAAAAACTGAGACAACTTACTCTTTGACTTGCCATCCAAATACAGCTGCTTCCATCACACTCAAAACAGAGGAAGAGAGAAGCACTTGAGTAAACAAATCAAATGGGCTTTCTGTTTCCTTTTTTTGAACCTTCCCTTTCTAGTGTTTTACAATTATAGTTGGTCTCTTACAAGGTTAAAGACGATGTGCTCAGTAACACACAGGTGACTACCTGCAAGATACTTTATTTCTTACACAGATGGGAAAGAAAAGGCAGTAGTTGAATAAGCAGAGTAAGTAACACAAAATAGTTGAGACGTGATCAGTTACAGTTATTTTTTCACAAGAAAACTGATGAGGAAAATCTGTGTGTATCCCACAATGATGTAAATCAGCAGCAAGATAATTTCTCTTGTATTTCTGTTGCCTCCTAAGAAGGGACTGAAACTTACTTGAGTATGAACTTTGGAACACAGTATTTATTAAAGAACAAGTTTCAGAAGTACACAGCAAAAATTCAAGACTTCAGAGGCAAGCGTCTAATTAATAAAACTAGGAACAGTATTATCCATTTGAGGTTCCTTAAATTAACTGTAGTATCTTTTTCTCTTCTTAATTCATGCTTAAAATTAACCTTTTAACTGCACAGTACCCATCTGTCGTACAGGCACAAAAGAAAACCTGGCAAGCTAGAACCTCAAATACCTACCCGAATCTTTAACAAAATGGTATTACACACCAACACTTAGCAGCTAACTAGCACCCACAAGACTTCATATCTGACTAAACATCCTTTCAATCACTGATTTCATCACAAGAATATGGTTTTTAGTTTCATAGGTTCCTTCTTTGCAGGACAGCTCTAATCTCAGCAGCATCTCCATTACTTAGAAGTGGAAGGTTCCGCACACAAGATGCCTTAAGTTTCCTAAAGACTAGGGGAAAAGCTGCTGTAAAAGAAGTATATTAAAATAAAAAATCAGAGCTATAGTAAACAGCATGTAAGAAACAGGTTTAGGTTCAGTGAGACATTTGACTTTGCTGTCAGTTTGGTGACTTAAGGCTGTTCCCATGCATCCTTACCAAGCAAAACCCTTTGGAGCTTTGCCTGAGCAAACCACGCAGGTGAGTCCGCCAGCTGTATGCATATCACATCTGAGGCTGCCCCACCTGCTGAAACCCACCCTGGCAGTAAAACCTGAGCTCCCGTCCTTCCACATCCATCTCTGGGAAACAAGAAACTAGAACCAGATCCAGTTCTCACCCAGCTTTTTTTTTCACTGCGCAGGACACGCAGAACTACTCTGTACTCCTATGGCATCATCCGCTATTTTAAACACAAACATTAGTATCTTTTGTCCAATATTCTACGCACATACAAGCAAAAAATTCCAGCTATTTGTGGAACACTACAGAAAGCCTATCTGCTTTCTCTAGTTTCTTTCATTGCCCAGGGATGAGAACTGTGACCAGCTGGAAAAGTGTCTGCAATTTCGAGAGGCTATTCCAAAACACAAAGGAAACAAGTTTTGTATCACTGCCTACCTCTCTGTTTTGATTAACAAGGCAGTTTGAGCAACTGCAATAAATGGTTAATTATCCTTCAACTGAACAAGCATTCTTAGGCTCCTGATGCTGCAAAGATTATGCATCAAGGCAAACACTCCTGGCCCTCATACTGTGAAATCATCTGTAAGGATTAAAATTTGGCTTAAGCAAAGAGAATAATCCAGTACATTCTATATATATTCATACTCCATCCCAAATAAAATACTAGGTGTGCACAGTGTTAGGAAGGAGGGTATTACTGCCATTTTTTAAGAGATAAGAGTAAATGAGTGTTTACTGCCCTAAGCAGCTATGCTGTCCTCCCGAGATGGAGTTCACACTGCAAGCCCAGCACTGCGCACCAGCCACCTTTCCACAACACAGATGTTTCTGTGCAGCACCCAGTAGGTTTTGGTAGAGTTGAGCTTAGGTGTCTTAGTTGCCAGAGATTCAGAAAAAATGAAGCATCTTTAATGTAAATGTAGCTTCCCAGCACTGTGCATCAGCAATCTCTGTAACTCTGCCCTGTTCCCCGTTAAATGTTTTTATTTCTCTTCTACAGAAGACCAGCCTTCTTTAGAAGGAGAACCTCATGTCCTTAGTGTAGCCCAGTTTGTCCAGGTTGGGAATGCAGGCATACTGGATCATTGGAGGAGGTCCACACATGAGGATCAGAACATCATTCTGAGGTGGGGGCAGGTGTTCTCTGATCATGTCTTGGTTCACAAATCCTTGGCTGTACTCCCAATCTGTTAAGAAAATTAAAGAAGGGGAAGGGGAATGAGGGAAAAAGGAAGAAATTACAGATATGTCACTTTAGGATGAAGCATGGGGGCTTGGGTGTTTTTTAGTAACATTCTGTACTGTAGCATTTATACACTCCACTGGCACAAGTGTCCTCAAGTTATGCTACACAGGAAATCTGCCACCTCCGCTTTTAAGACACAAAACTGATGTATGGAGAAAACAAGAGCTAGCTTCTAATAAAACCTGCTAAAAGCCCCAGGGAAATCTCAAGCAGAGCTGTGAACAGAATGCGAATCTTTTTAGCTTCAGCACTATGAAGTAACATCCACCCTCTTCACCCCACTGTTTACTAGTCCGCTAAGGAAAATCTAGCTGATGAAGTGGTTCCCAGTTGGAACACTCACAGTGCCATCGGTTAATGCTAGGATTCAAGTTTACTCCTCTCATCCCAGCCCTGGATACAAAAAGCTGCTGACCCAAACCTTTGTACACAGTAGGACTGACACATTTTTCTCCCACAGGTTACCCAAAAATTTCCACTTTTAGGTCCATTTCCACATATGGCAGTGAAAGTCTGCACAACAATGTTGGGGCGGGGGGGGTGTAAGGAGAAAGTTTTATCGCAACTGCTAAGATCAGTTCACACTTACCAAAGAAAGGGAACAATAATTAGAAATTTCGGGATTCTCCAGTAATTGCAGAAGATGACATGATAGCAACAGACTGTAGGGAAGGCAAGACCTTTCTCCCAACCCCACTGAAGGTGTATGCTTAGTCACAAGGTAAGAGAAAGTATATGGCTTCTGCTTCTTTGTCCCAAACTACCACTGAATAGGAATGTGAATCTATCCTGATGTGGGTGAGCATGATGAGAAACGGTAAGACAGTTTCCGTGTAATTCCTTGTCATTTTCCTATTAGGCCTTTTCACAACGGCAGTAAGTATTTAGCCTTTTCTTCCTCAACCTTGCACCCCTTGAGGGTAGCACACTCATCCTCTTACCTAGACCAGCCAACTGTATCTCATTATCTTTAAAACTGAACTGAACCAAGCTGGAACAGTATTTTCAGTGAAAAGCACTGTTAATACAAAGGCAATTCTGCTGCCTAGGAAGATCAGCTACAATGAACTGCCTGTCATACAATGACAGCTAGGTAGGAGTCTGCACTTGGCCACATCTCTGTGAGACAGTGCCCCTGACACTTCCACTGCAGCTGTCTTAATGCATGCTTTAAACATGAATGAGACAGTAAGATAACATGTTGCATTTATGTCTGTGGGGAAGGAGAAAGGAAGGTCACCTTCCAGAGTAGGTAATGGTAAATACTCAGGTGTAGTCATGGGAGGAAGTCATGGGAGGAACACTGCACTACCATTACCTGAGGTGAGCTTTGGAAACACTGCCTGATTACACCTGAGAGTTTCTGTGCATCACTGTGTGAAGAATGATGCTACTGGATGCATTCAGACACAATACATTAAGCAAGAAAGGAGCTCAGAAATATGCACACAATATAGGATGTCTCCTGGCAAACACATGCATTAATACTCATAACTTAAGCTCCAGTGGAAGTAGCATTGTAGCTCTTACTTTCAGGTGCTCGGTCCAGCGTGTACCAACACTTAAAGCGACCGGGATTCTGAACCTGGATCTCCTCTAGCTCAGACCGTAACAGGATATCCTTCTCAGTCTGCAGGATAAGGAAAATAATGATTATGCTCTGCATTTAAGTGCAATCCTCAGACGACCACAGAGCATTAGCTTTTGTACAGCCCTGTGAGATGGAACACATTATTCAACTCTATTTTACAGGCTGAAGAGAGCAAACACAAGTTATTTCCATGACTATCCCGTGGCAGAGCTAATAAAAAGGTTCATAACATTCCCAAATCCTGATCACGCAATGCATTCCCCCTAAAAAATAAAACAAAGGAAAACCTCTAACAGAACACAGAGCCTTGTTCAGGGAATTAGTGGTAGCATAAGAAGAGTAAAGCCCTCTTTTAGCACTCCTATTACAAAAGCAACTTTAATCACAAAAGAAACCATGACTGTTTACAAGTATCTCCCTAGCCCTCCATACCATGCCATTCAGTCAGGAATTTGGGGGTTGCTTGTTTTTTAAACAGGATGCGGAACAAATGACTAGAAAAGTATTGAGCTCTGACTGGAACAATAAAAGCTACCCAGGGTACCAAGTTCTGTTCCGCCATGATGCAACATCACCGAAGGACAAAAGAAGGCCTTATTCCCTTAAGAGCAGCTGCAGTTTGTGAAGGAGGGAAAAGGGTAGAGACTAAAAGTGGCACTATTCTCTGCAGCCTTCGTAATTTGGCATTGAGGACACCACCACGTCTGTAACTGTGGGAGTAAGGAGCAATGTGCCAGCCACTATTGCTGAGAAGGTGCTTATTTCTGGTTCTGCAGTTGCACATGTTCCAGAAAAGTTACTACTGGGTTTGACCAATTCAGAGCATGCTGGTCAGAAGCACTGTATGAGCCCACGTACACTGCCACCTGCAATCCAACACAGCTCTTTCAGGAGGGCCAAAATAAATTGTGTTTTGACAACCTTAAAAAAAAAACAACCCAAAACCAGCCATATTTTAAACTATTAAAAATATTAAAACCATCTAGTCTGTAGGCTTTCCTGACTGACCATTTGTCATGAGGCTGCTTTATATTTGTGCAGTTACTGGGTACAAGGACTCTTTAAAGCCAAGGACCGATGTTTACACAAGCTGTTGCTAATACGCAGGCAACTATTCCCCAAGTCCTCCCTGCAAGAAGCAACAGGTTTTCTATGTCACTGAAGCAGCTCTAGCCCCATATTAGTCATTCTTAATTACTCATGGCAAATCCTGGTCTTCCTGCCCTGACACTGACTGCACTTTATGCCAACTCCTAGGGCTCAACAGAGAGCAGCTGCTGCTGCAGCAGCACCAGCCAGCACGAGAGGGCACCGGCAGGCCACTTAAAGAGCTGCTTTACTGCAGTAAAACGTCAGAACAGGGCTCCTGTTTGCACCTGCATCATAGCTTCTGGGTAGAAAAACCCTGGGTTTATAGTTCAGATGCGGCGCAAAGGAAATGAGGAATGACAGAGGAGAACCAAAAGAAGATAATAAACCACAGGCAGGCAGTAAGGTTCACCACAAAAAATGGCTCATACTCCAAAACCAAATATTCATTATTATGCAGAAATTTAAAAGCAAAGGATTGACATCAGAAAAATATCAGGGAAAGAAGAGGTGTTGTAGTTCAGCAGCACACCACCATTTGGGTTGCCTGGTCACTGAAGCACAGCAGTATGATAAACCTCAAAGAGCAATAGAAACACATGAAGAACTGACAAAAGAAATGGAAATTAAAGGCAACAGCCGTGCAAAATCACAACACCCATAGCTGAGGGAGCCAACTGTTAACTTCAGCTTCACCTAAGGTGTTCTCAAACGGAAAGATTCCACATACAAACCCTGCTGCAAAGCTGGGAGTTAAGACTGCTGAAGGAGACACATGTCCACCTCTTTCATGTTTCCACCACTCACAAACACAGCCCTGAAAAGTCTGTTACATATTATCAACTTGCACAAAGGAATGCAGAGTTTTGAAACATTTATAAACTGAATTAGAAAGAGAAACAACGAGACACAGGAAAGGGAGCATTAGCTGGGAGGAAAGTGACATTTCTGAGAAACACTAAACCCACAATTCATTACAGTCCTTTTATAGGGTAAGTTTCCGACATTTCAGTTCACTTCTCCCCTCAGGGTTTGTATTCCTGCACCAGGCTTTCTCAGCAAGAATTTCATTTGCTGGGTGGAGTTCCATTAGTTAATTAAAACTTCATAAGCAGAACAAAGGACAGAATTACCTGGTTAGCAAACAGCAGCTGACAAATGGTGGGGTCATCTTTGTCTTTCGCGATTGCTCGAATGATCTGCAGCATAGGTGTTATCCCTGAAAGAGAAAGGCAGGCCAATGATGTGAGAGTGCAAAGGAGCAAAAGAGCAAGCAAGTGAGCGTGTGAGAGAAAACAGGTACAAATACATCTCCCAGCTGCCAGAAACCATGGATGAATCTTACGTACCAGTCCCACCTGCAATCATCCCCACATATTTCACTGTCTTAGTAATTGGTTCAGCTTTCTTTTCAGGCCGAATAGCAAATGTGCCTGGAGAGAGAAGATGGAAAACATTAAAACAAGCAGGACACAGTGCCTGTGATCCCTTCCCAGCATGTTCAGCTAATTGACTCTGTTTCAGCCCTGTCACCCTGTTTTCCCTCCATAAAGCACAAGCAGGAAACAGACAAAGGTGAAGATGCCACAAATTAAAACAAATCCTGAAAGATAATCAGTGCCTGAAAGACATGATGATGACATCAGACACTGACATGGGTTATTACTTATTCCTGCCTATAGCATCAAGTCACCACTACCTTTATTTCTATTTATTCATGTCCCAAACCACCACTGATACTCAGAAGCCCAGATTCTGAAAACAGTTCTACACAAAGGAATCAATCTGCTCAGAGAGTTTATCTGCCCCATGCATATTATTTCAAGGGAAAACCAAAATACACAGGGCGTATTTTTTGTATATTTATATCTTCTTTTTGAGCTTATGTGCCAGTTTCAGCCAAATATGACAGTTTGAAATTTCCCAAAATATTGTATTTGTTGTATTCACACCTCTCTCCATCCAGGATAATATGAACACAACATGCAAACTCTGGAAAAACACTTGTCTGAGTTCTGCTCTCACAAAGCTGCCAGAAGGTTTTTGTGACACATCTGTGGCTGCACTATGCTGAAGCGAGATATTTTATATTGACATAAAAGTACTTCCTACTGATAAAGTTAATTTTCATTTGAGATATTAGCACTGGACAGCACAAATATAAAGTGTTTTTATCAGCATATAAACTATGTCCATATAAGCAAGCAGAGTATTGCCTTCTTTGAGAACAAGCACTTCCATGGTCATGTAACAACCCCCCTCAAGATGGCTATTGACTTAATTAAGGCATTAGCAATTTCTTTTATGCAGAGATGCTAACAACAGCAAAGAATACCCACGTCTAGTGGGAGAGGGCAAGTATACTGAGAGTACCAGCCCAAATAATAAATAGAGGTGACAGCCAATGTTCAGTTCACGCGCCATCTGTAATTAAAATGTAGCCAACAGAGATTCTGCTCCTCTGCTCTCATGAGACCCCACCTGGAGTACTGCAACCAGCTCTGGAGATCTCAGCACAGGAAAGACATGGACCTGTTCCAGTGGGTCCAGAGGAGGGCCGTAAAAGTGATGAGAGGAATGGAACACCTCTCCTGTGAGGAGAGGCTGAAAAAGTTGGGATTGGAGAAGAGAAGGCTCCAGGGAGACCTTATTGCTGCATTTCAGTAGTTAAAAGGGCATATAAGAAAGATGGGGACAGGCTTTTTAGCAGGACCTGCTGCAACAGGACAAGGGGTAATGGTTTTAAACTAAAAGAGGATAGATTTAGACTAGATATAAGGAAGACGTTTTTGTTACAGTGAGTGTGATGAAACACTGGCACAGGTTGCCCAGAGAGGTGGTAGATGTCTCATCCCTGGAAACACTGAAGGTCAGGTCAGACAGAGCTCTGAGAAATCTGAAATAGTTGAAAATGTTCCTGCTCATTGCAGAGGGATTGGACTAGATGATCCTCAAAGGTCCCTGTCAACCCAGGGACCATTCTATGATTCTATGATGCTATATAGACTTGAATCCAGCTGGAAAAAAACATGATCAGTATTACTATTGCTTTATAATGACTTTTTTTCTGCATGGTTTAGTCTGGATTAATTATATCTTCCAAGTCAGCCTTACCTTTTCCTTTATAGACAAGTAGGCCACTTGGTCCTCTGAAGTCAATAGTATCCCCTATTTTCAGGCTGTCTAAGTATTGAGACATCTTCCCTCCATCAGGAAACTTCGGATGGATACCCCTGAAGTAGACCTGTTAAAAATAACAATAAAGCAATTTATCTCACAGCTCAAAGATGAGCATTTCCCTTCAAATATTTCAGTACCCATATTCCTCGTGCAAAGAACACAATTACTACATAAAGGAATACTTGCAGAATTGACTGACAACAAAAGAGAAGCGCTGCGTTTTCTGAAGAGGATTAAAATGCCCCTCTTACCCCAGTTTTGATCAGGTTGGACACAGTCTGGCAATTTCTCCACTGTATTTCTGTAACATAGAACGTATCTCTAAACAATCAACCTAACTTCTGAGAAAGATCCCTGACAGCTCAGTTGCAAAGGGATGTACCCAAACATCGCTCTTGCGATGCCAACTGTTTGCATCTTGAAGTTAGAGTAACAAAAAAAAGTGCACATCAACTAACTGAATATTCAACCATTCATCAACAGGTATCAGTGGGTGTAGTTACACTGCTGGAACTCTGCTGGGGTTTTTTGTTTTAAATCCCATGGATGTGAAAGGGTTCAAGCTGAGACTAGCTACGCTTTCACAAGAACAGCATCATTTGCATGCATGGAGAGCCACACTGGGAAGAAGGGTCTCTTTAGGTCAAAGATTTACATTTTTCCCTTGTCATGTCTTCAACAACATGCTCATGAAGATAAGTAGGTAGTACAAGACAAATTCATGTCCAGTTTCACAATAAATGAATAAATTGTTATTAGTTGTAAAGAAGAAAAAAAAAACACTTGAGAAAAATACTAAAAAAATCCAATGCAGATATTCAGGTTTTAAACTTTTGTCAGCTTTAAATATATCTGCTTAGTCCAGCTAGCAAGAGACAAAACCCAAGTACATTATCACAAGACTCAAAACCACATTCTTGCAATTAAATCAGTCATTTACTCTGTCTGGATCAGTAACAATAATGATCACCATTCTTAATGGTTATAGTGACCATGTTACATTCACTTCAGAAGAAATTGGCAGCTCAGGCCGGGTTAATTCCTTATTTCAGAAGGATTAAAAATGTGTGTACACATCTGCAGGTCTACACAGATTTTGGAAAACTGCAATATGCAAATACAGAAAATTACACAGCATCTCATGAGACACACGCACCGCAGAAGTGCCTGCAAAATGCCATATGGATTGTAGGTAACTCCAGATCACTTATTAAAACAGTGGAAATCTGCAGTGGCATGTACATGAACAGAAGCCAGCACATCAGACTTCACATAGCACTGCAAGTGTAAAGGTGAGGTCAGAAGCTGCGACATTCTCACCTTAACAACAAGATCCACAAAGCCCTTGTCATCATCACTGGAAACTGGAGTGTAAGGTCTCACAACCAGAGCTCCATCAATCCGTGCAGACAGGTGGATATGCTGTCCTGCGTGGAGGGAAGAGAAAAAGCAGTTGGCTTTCAAAAGATTTTTCTTTCGGTAGATGTACTGATTTGGTACAGACTGCAAACTCTGTGTCAAAGTTGTCCTAACAACCTTGTTTTGGGGAGCCACTTTTCCCTCTCTCATGCTCCTGGAATGTAGCACCTTGTACATTCAACCATGCACAGGTTCTATCTGGAAGGACAGACAATGCTGCTGCTGATTTTATGTGTCGATCACATCTGTTCTAATGGCTTTTACAATACCCAAAGCTCTAACTGTATGCAAGATCTTGCAAAAGATGTGGCACGTCTCTCCCATGCCAGCAAGAAAAAAGGACTCGGGAGGGGAAAACTGTCAAGTTCTGTTCACGCTTCTTTATTAACATGTTAGTTATAAGCTCTTAACAGTTTTGTTACAACTGAGTTTATAACTGTACTTACTTTGATCACAAATGGCTCATGTCTATCAGGAGGTCTTCTAGCCATCATTGCTCAGGCTGCCTAGATATAAAGCGCTTTTCTAACTCTGCTATTTCTCCAGCTTAACATCTGAATGCAGTGATCACATTTCAATCTGTCACACATCCACTGAACTCTCTACAAACAGTTTCATTTCTCAATGTCCACGCTTTTGATGAAAAAAACCCACCTAGAATTAACACTTTCGAAAGGGTTTCCTATAAAATCCCAACATACTGAGGAGACCCAAGTGAAGAATACCTAGGGGAGGATTTGGTCTTTGTTATTTTGTCACCACTATGTCAACAGAACAAACTACCTCTTAAGATAGAATGCAGCTCTCCAAAGATGGTGCAGTTCATCTGCCTGCTATGGGAACACAAACTGGGGATTTTACCAGTTTGCCAACCCACAGGACCAGTAAGGCAAAGCAGTGGGTGAATGAAGACGTGCTACCTGGTAACTTGGGAAATGAGCAACCATAGCTCACTTGAAGACATCATGTAAAGGCGATTCAAATAACCCTCTCAGCAAAACCTACACAGATCTGGTACCACTCATGTTTCCTGCTAGGGAAGGCCTGAAGGCAGCTGCAGCAGCAACCTCCCATTCCTCTTCCAGGCTAGGGGTGACCTCACCACCCCCTCCTCCAGGAAGAGCCCCATAGTAACCACTGCAGACAGTGAACCCAGACAGACAGGACCACTGCTGGGGCATGTCTCACAACAATTGGTGCAAATCCCAAAAAGGTGCTCCTTCCAAAGGGAAAACATGCCTTAGGCTCTTACTTGTTATAGCTCTACCCCACCCTGACAGGACAGCAGTAGGCAGCCTCCCCATGGGTCCACACACAATCCCACTCTTACTCAGAGTGAGTCACTTATTTTCCTGTTAACACCCCAGCTGGCAGTAGAAACGAAATGCTGGTGCTGGACTAAAGATGCAGAGTGCACACCAGTATCTGTCCCATGGCTGCCACGCCTGCTGCTCCCAGCTGCTTTCACCACCCTCACCAGCTTTTAGTTCTCCTCCCTTCCCAAGTCTTGCCCACAGATCAGACCGTGCAGAGGACCTTAGGGAGCATGACTGTGCTGCTCCTGGGACTGCGCAGGGCCAGGGACATGCCTTCTCGAGCAATGCTGAAGTAACTGGCTGATCTGCCCTGACCTTACTAAAACACTGGACGAAGCCATGGCATGCAGCAGGCCAAATTCACCCCAGATGGCTTCTTTTCTGTTAGTATGCAGGACAAGAGCAACTAGAGAGGTGAGACGGCTCGCTCCTCAATGCTCATCGGGGGCAAGGGCAGGAAACTAGCTTTGCCCGCATGGCTACTGAGCAGGATCAAGAAAGTAATACATCCCAAACAACAGGGAACCTAAACGCTACGGAGTGTAATGCTAGAAAGGTGCTATAGGACTACCTTGAAACACCTGATTCACAGATCATTGCAACCGGTTGCTAAAGCAGAAGTCCCTATTAAACACAAGTGATAATTAAATGTTCTTTACATAAGCAGTAGAAAACAATACCACTAAGCTATTATGGAAGGCAACATACCACATGGCAAGGCCTAAGGAAACATCTACTACATGGTGATTAAGAAGTTCCATGAGACTGGCTGCAAATTCAGAAGTGACTAGATCATCTGGTAAACCACATGAGTTAGAGGAGAATTTCCAGAGAACATGGCTTCAAGGGATGGAAAGGGACCACTGAGGCCAAGCACCATGGGAATAACACACACTGGAATGTTGAGACTGGAAAAACAAGTAAAGACCAGTGTTTGTTTCTACTGTCTTCACAGAAACAAGCTGGATGTACACCCTCTGTAAGTACACAAGAGTTCAGGCCCTGCAGATGACTCACACCATGAGGATAATCTTGCAAAGCTCTAAATACCAGCTCAAACTATGTGGACAGTATTCCAAATTCAACAGTTCAAAATGTAGGGAAAAAAATCCCTCCAAAACCTCTCATAATATAATTAACCACACATGGATTCTCAGGAAGGACAGACAGCACATACCTAGAGGAAGGCCCAGAACATGATCTATGGAAGGGAGAGCAAATCGAAATCTTCTTGTGTCATGACTAACTTCCTGAAAGAGGAAAATGAACAGAACAGTCAGCTATGCTGTTGAGATTTAATTCTTGTGATTTCACTTGCAAAACCAGTGCACTGCTCTAGCTTCCTGCAGGATTGAATATTTGGGGGAGAACAGCATCCTAACTGAAATTTTTGCATAACGCAAATACAAACTCCTCTGAACGTGGCAATCCTGCAGAGGTCAACTCTTTGTTCAAACTCCCTGAAAACTTAATTTTATCTCAAGGTATTTTAGAAGCAATACAGAAATAAAAATAGAAATAAAGCAGACAAATGCAAGTACCGATTTTTATATTTACATGTGAATAGCAAAACTTAGTAACATACTCATATGCAGATTGAGACTGAACTATAACTTTCTACACAGTATGAACATTTACACTGCCTTCTGCAAGAAGGCCACTGGACAGAAATTACTCAGCTCTTCAATTCTCATTTAAGTTTAAACATACGTGAGTTCAAGGCCAAAAAAAATTATTTTGATGTATTAAAATCAGATGAATTAACTATTTCAGAAAACTGTATTCCATAAAAATGGAACTAATACTTAATTACAATTTAAAAGAGCTCTCTATTTAGATAGGTACTTTTATTATAAAATAATGACAGTTCTTTTACCAGGAATGTTGTAACTTGATTAATAGTTTGGTAATGAGTAAATAAAACGCTATTTCTTATCCTGTATAAGTTTTACCTCTTAAAAATCAGGTGACATTCATGGGATTGAAAAAGTCAGAAAAAAGAAAAAGGGACAACATACGGCCTAATTCCTCACCAATTTCTTTCTTTAAAGCCCTATGGGAAATAATAACCCTTCTAAAGCAAATTTCATAAACATCCTAGAAAATACTGTAGCCCTTTTTTAAAGGAAATGCTAAACAAAGAAAGGAACTGAGTGGCAGTCTAAAAAGAGTTTCTCTGTACTTGTATCTATTCAGGAACAGTAACTGCCATTGAATAATCCACCAGACAGCTAAAGTGGACTTAACACTGCTGCTCTCACACTGACTACTGCTGTTTCTGTATGAAGATTTCAGCATCAGGTAGGCCACTTCAAAGCTGGATTTTGCCAATAAATCCTTCATCTTAAGATGCTGTCATTGCTCAAAGCCCCGTCCAACCTGGCCTGGAATCAGAAGTTTTGAAGATCAGAGCATTTGCACCAGATTTTTGGCAAGATGTTAGAAGATACTAGCACTTATTGTACCAGGTTGTTATTTTTCAAAACTAATTTCTGTTTCCAGGACACATTTTCCATTCAGGAAAAAATTTATAAACACCCATGAGTCAAATATTCCCAGCTGATCAACGTACCACAAGCAGCAGCATCTGACCTGGCTATATAAGAGCTGTTCCCAAGATTTGAAAAAGGCATATCAAAATAACAACAAGGTGAGAAAAAAAATCAGTAATTTATTAAAAAATAAAAAATAAAAATCAAGTGCACTGTGAATTCCCTTCTGTTATAAACTGCTACAGCAGAAACCTGCAAGTAGCTTGATTCTCAGAGGCATGTGCAGCGCCTCAAGTTGCCCTCCCCTCCTGCAGGTCAGACAGACTGTACCTGCAACCAGGTGCTACAGCTCTCATGAAAAAGTGGGGAGTATATAATAATAGCATTGTTGCAGTACACATGGGAAATAAATTCAGTAATGGCACCCAGCCCAAACCACAGGGAAGCTTTCAATTCCCACAAAACCCAGGATTCAGAATGACAGTAATCCTTTTCTTTGACAAACAGAACAAATGAAAGCCAAACTATCAGCATACTCCCTACACATCAAACAAAGCTCTGATCCAGTCCTTTTCCGGTAACCTTCTGACTAGCTCATTGATTTAAAAAGTCAACACTACGAATGTCTTCAGGTGTGATTTTACACCAGAAAAGCCAAGACTTCTACCTCATGCTTTTGATGGTGAGTTTATCCAAGGGTAATCTGGACTTTTCACCTTTTATGGCTTTGGCCTTCTTCCCTCAAGTTGAGTCCACCCCTGAAAGCATCATGACTTCCATCTAGAAACCTAGTTGAGGAGCCTGGGAGATACAGAATGGCTTCTACTTTTATCAGAGAGAAAAAGAAGCTGAAACAGCTCAGGTACTGTCATGACTACAACCTTTAAACATCTTTCTTCCTGTAACACATTAGAATACACAAATCCAGTAACAGGAATCAGTATCAACATAGGTCTGACAACTACTATGCTGAACACTACTGACCATGAAAAATCTGCCTGCTCTGCCTGACAGCATAACTCTGCCTTATAGAGAACCCAGCAGCACAGAGTGTAGGAATTTCTGCTGATGTACCACATGACATGAGACACGTGACAGAAACTCCAAGTCTGGTCATCTCTAAAACAGAATTCTCCACTTCATCTTGCTTGGAAAGAAGCTGTTTGCAGAAGTGCAGATCTTGGTTACACCAGGCAATGAGCATTTATAACCAATTTACTTAAAATGCAAGTATTCAGCCTGCTGCAACATCACCCAAGATTTAAGAAGCCACAAGCATTTTACAGTACCCATGGAGAGGGCATGCTCAGCACTGTACATTCACTTACCTCCTTATCAATCAGCCTTAATGCATATTTCACTTCAGGATCCTGCAGAGTAATTGCAGGACGGGGATTCCTGAAGAACTTCTGGAAGATGGTGTAGATGAGCTTTAATGGGTATGTCACAACCCATCCCAACTGCAGCGATACAGAAAGAGTGTTAGACACATGTGCATAACAAGAGAAAGTTATTTTTTACTTTGGTGAGAAAGAATACAGTAGTTTGACATGACAATCTAACCCCCAGAAGAAAACGTGTTTCTTTGTACTAATATGAGAAGGAAGAGGAGGTATTTAAAAACAAACCATCTACTTTAATAGTTTCCTTTAAAAATACCTAGTGTTATTACTCCTACGTTGAGGTACTTGGCATACCAGGAGGCCTGCCAAACCTGGAAGCTTGACAGAAGCAAGGCTGTCACAGCTCCATGTCCTTGCTAACAGTTGGTCCCCAGATCCAGCTGTTAGCAAGGCTGAGTATGTACGCCCAGCAGGCACAGGCACACATACAGAACACACGCCCAAATATACATGTGGCTGGCTACACTGATCAACACAGACAGGCTCACACAAATAGCACCAATGACTGTCATCCTGATCCCCTCCCTGACTGATCAGGGAAAAAAGACATCCCACAGGCATGTGCACACAGTGAATTCACCAGTAGCTGGCTTAGTCCCCAGAGCAGCTGTCCCCAGACTGCAGTCCCCCCAGTCGCTCACATCTGAGCGTGAGCTGCTCTCGCACAGACCCCTTCACACACCATCACATGCACTGCGGTATCACCCTTCAAGATACACACACACCTGGCTCCCATGACATCTCACCCAGTTACTGGTTAGTCCAGCTTGACCTTTGCTAACCATCACACACTCGTGCTGGGTGCTGGCACCACAGACACACAAGCCCTCTTGCCCATGGTCTGGCTCCAGGCACGGGCACTTAACACTCCCACAAAGATCCATGCATGCAAAGCAGTATCCCTTCCCCAGAAAAGCAGCTATGGCGTTTAATGAGGACAGGACAGACTATGCTGACAGGTTGCAGGACGCAGGCAGGCAAGCCTGCTTACAGAGCAGGCCTGTTTACACAGGGTCAGCGCTTTTTGTTCCTTTATCCTTTTATTTTCCTCACATTTGTACTTCTCCAAAGGCCTCAATCCCTGCCTTTGGTTCCTCCCCTAAAGGTCCCACAATCCCCAAACACTCACCCCCTAAATCCCATGCTACCCCAGCCTTCAAGGGGAGCCAGCCTCCCACTGGTGCCTGCCTCACCCCTGACCCAGGGGGCAATGGCTCCCCCAAACAGCTCTAGGAAGGTCCCCAGCCTGCCAGTGTTTCTTTGTGTGCACTTGTATGGAGGTAAACCTTCATGAGTTGGCTGCTCTCCTGTGATGGACCCGAGAGTAGCTGGGTGAGGGTATCACCCAGGCTCCTCCCATACTGTTGTGCCTCTGCGCTCCCTGGTGCATGGATGTGCAGACAGGCTCCTCAACCACATCACTTAACTCATGCCACTGTTTTGGGCCTTTTATATCACAGCGCCTGGAGGCAACAAGACAGAGCCTTGGGCAACAAGGTCTAGTCTTAGGTGTCCATGCCCATGGCAGGGGGTTGGAACTAGATGATCTTAAGGTCCTTTCTAATTCAAGGAAATCACTTCACAGCACAGACCTTTAATGGCACCAGGAGCACGGGGCGGTTCAAACCTCCATACATGTCTCCAAAGCACAGTAAATTTCAGGGGTTTTTATACTTTACATTCTCATCTTGATGTAATTTTACCTAAAGCATCCACACATACAATTTGGTAAGTTATAGAACTGTAGTCCTCTTATCCTACTGCACATTTCAGTTAGGGCTACAGTGACAGTTTATTGATCACCTTTTAGCTTTCAACTGCTAATACCTGGAGCTACATGCTTAATTCTTTGCTCAAATTGTTATCGTATCTTACCATTAGAGATGTCCCTGCTTAGAAGCAATTTACAGAACCAGATGCAAGCCATCTACAGGCCCAAATTCTAATGTATTGTTTAGCATGCCTCACCAGAAGGGCAGATTCCCACCCTCAGAGGGGGCCCCCTGTTGAGTGAGCATTCATGTCTAGGTGCTAAGTCATTCTCATGCTAAAAAGTAAAGTTATTTCAGCTAAGGCCTAATGCTTTGGTCTCATTTCCAACCAAAGCCATTCTATGATTCTGTGATTGCATAGCCTGTTGCAGGGATGAACTTCACCCCAGGGGCTGAAGCCCCACAAGATGGGAATAGGTTATGCCATCACACCACCATCTCCATGCCCAACACCATGCACAGGCTACCTAGCTGGGAGACTGAGTGACCACACCAGCCCAGGAAAGCACAGAAGAGACCACAACACTGCAACTACAGCTTTGTGGACAAGATGGAAGGAAGATGTCACCTTCCCACCCAATACCAGACACCTCAGCCACTTGGTGGGTCTACAGGGCTGAAAATGGGTCACCCACAGGCTACAAGCGCAAAGCCTGCCACGACCATGCTCAGCTACAAGCCTGTGCCTTTGTTTCGGTTTCCAGTGCCTGTTCCCAGGGACATGTTCTGCCAGATTAGATAAACGCTGTAACAACCTACAAAATCACCCGTGTAGGTAGATGTGGTCCTAACTTAGGACTGGAGAATAAACTGATCATCTACTTACAAAACTCCTCACCAATTCTGTAATTTGGTATTCAATGCTTTAACAGAAGAGAGGGGGAAAGCATGACCACGGGAAGCAAGGTGAGGAGCAAAGTACTTAGGTTGTATACAGTGCACATCTTTGCCCTGCCTGGTTAACTTTCACTTTTGTTTTCAAGTGATCTGACCAGTATTTTAGAACCTCATCTCTGTGAGCGTGACAGTTCTCAGGAGGCTATAAACACTGCAACATTATTATTACTAAACTGTGGCAAATGTAAAATTAAAAAAGGGACATAAGCTATCTCTTCTTAAAATGCTGCTGTACGGGCTTAAAACGTATCAACATTTGGTATAGCTTGAAGACACAGCATGCTGTGCACACACTGCCTTTTTCACTTTTATTTGAAAATACTGAAACAGCTCCATACAGGTTGTTCCTGAAGAAGCTGGAGTTTAGAGGAATATTATTCCTTAATTATACAGATCCACCAGATTACTTTAGCTCCAGAAAGAACTTTTGAATCACAAAAAAAAGGGGGGAGGGAAGTTAAGAAAATGACAGAGCAGCAGATAAACTTCCTGATGAGAACTGCAACAGATGCATGAGACCTGTTGGAGACAGCAAGCTGAATCCACAGCAAATGATGCTTCAAAATAAAGCATTAATGTTAAAATAAACTAGCTTCATTTACAGATGCAGGCATCTAAAACAGACCAAAGAAGCACAGCTGTGGTCTAACAAAACTGACAATCACTGAATTAAAAAAACTTAGGCTTGGTCCCAACTCCAACACTAATGTATGCCAGTAACAGCTGATCAGGAAGACAGGAGAAGAGCAGCTTCAAAATACTACCTCTACGTCAGCTTCTTCACCTGTGTGCAGATAAGTGCTTTTCCCATCTTTGCAAATATTTTTGGGTCATCAGCTGTTAAGTGAAAGCTACCACAGCTGTTCAGTAAATGACATTAACACTGTTCCCCCACATGAGCATCATCATCACTTTTTGGAGCAACGCACTATATCTGAGTCTCCTGGTACAGAATGAAGTTTAATTCTGACAAATACTTTTAGCACAGTGTTCACCTTGTGGAAGGCAATTTGTTATTTATGGTCAATTAATGCAAAAGCCTAATGGGATTTAGCCTGTAAAGAAACAGCAAACCAGTTAATTCAGGTAGCTATTTTAGCTCCTTACTCAGGAAGTATCAACTGATGGGCAGAAAACAGGCAAAGAACTGAAGGCTGAATGATTATAAAAAGTTATCCGTGCCAAGAAATACATTCTTGGGGTTAAAACTGATCTATATACTCTTATCACAGAGCATATCAAGACATTTATGATGATAACTGCACTGCAATCATGGAAGCTGCATCAGATCTAGAGCAGCCACAGGTACAACTGGCTGACCTCAAGGCCAGGAATCACTAAATGAAGATCTGGTGACTCACAGTTTCCAGCTGCACAAATCTTTGCTAACAGAGATCACAAAACCAGTAATACAGCAAGAATTTTTATTAATGGAAACAGACCTTTGCAGTATAACAAAAAAGGCCTTAAGAAAAAAGCCATAGCACTGAGATCACCAGACCCTTCCACTAAGGCGTTGTGAGCAAGACACAGTTAAATAGGTAAGCTTATGGCAGGATACTCCACCACCCAACTGCCCTACAAACACACAAACCTAATGCTGCTTTGGCAAGACTACTCTTATACCCTCGGCTCGACTTCTTCATTTAGACCCTACTTTTAAGGGATTTTCACAGAATCATTAGGGTTGGAAGTGACCTTTGAAGATCATCCAGTCCAACCCCCCCACCAAGGCAGGGCTACACAGAGCAGTTTATTTAGTTCTAGTACTTTAAACATTCTTCTCATCTGCTTTAAAAAATGATGAAAGGATTAACGGACAAGCATTTCTTCTGCAGCTTTAGCATCTGCCTCATTCTCTTCTGTTCATGTAACCTAGTAACCAACTGTACCCAAACTAGGACATGTTGTGTCCAGCTCTGTCTTGCTCCTCTCACAAACCCAGAGCCAGAAACGTTTGAGCAGACGCATCAGAGGAAAGACATGACATATTAGGCTGCATCAGGAAGAGGGTAATGATGTAGATGGTCTTAGTGACACGCTTTCACGGTAGACTTAGCAGTCCTGGGGTAACGGTTGGCCATGATGCCCTTAAAGGGTGTTTCCAACCTAGCTGATTCTATGATGCGTGCTACACTTAACAGCACCGCAAATCCACCGCTCGGCAGACATGATCCCCAAAGAGCTCTCCACTACAGCAGCAACAGCTAGGCTTGTGGCTTTAAAGCCATCAGCACAAGTGCTGAAAAATGATTCGGAGAACGGAACGGAGAGTAGCCACACACACCACACCACAGCACCGCACACAGCACCCTCACCATCACAGCTCGCACACACAAAGGGTGCGCATATCGGAACACGGGCCCCAGCCCACGCCAGCCTTGAGGAGGTCCCAGGGCCACCTCATCGCGGCTGGGCACACGGCAGCGGAGGCAGCAAAGGCCTGGGGTACCCTGTCACCCCGCCCAGCGGCCCCCCGCTTTGCTCCGGCACCAACACAGCCCGCCCTGGCGCCCTGAAGGCCTAGCGGTAAGGCCGCGTCTCTCCTCTTCCCCACGGGCAGGCCTCGGGGCCTGAACACAGCTCGCTCAGGACTTCGGCGGGAGGAGCGGGCAGGAGGCAGCGCCACGCAGCCGCCCACCCCCGCCCGCAGCCGCAGGTCCGGTCGCCCGGCGCCACCCCGACCCGCGCAGGGCTCACTCACCGTGCTGAGCGGCGCCCCCATCGCAACCCCCGGCTACCCGCGACAGCACCGCCCACCGCACCTCGCCCCTCGGCGGTGCGCAGAGCCCCACCAATCAGCGCCGCCACCATACCGCCCCCTGCTGGCCGCCGCCGGAGCCGCGCCGTGCGACCGCCAGGGGGAAATCGCTCCACGCCGAAGCGCCAGGGCCCGCTGCCGCCGCAGGCGGGGCCGGAGGTGTGGGGCCGGGGCTTAGCGGAGGGGCCCCTCGTCCGGCGGACAACTTCTTGTTGCGGAGGTTGGGGGAGGTACGGAGCGGCGTGGCGGGGGGCTTGCCCCCGTTGTTTCTGTTAGTGCTCCTCGGGCCGGTGGCTCTGGGCCGAAGCGCGGGCTCTGGTCCCCGGCCCTTGAGGCGGCGCTGCGGGTGGCAAGGACGTGTAAACCGGTAGTCTCGGTTTCCCATGCTGTGCGAGCATGCACACGTGCGGTGTTTATTAGTGCCCCCTGACCCAACTGCGTCACCACTCCTCATGCATAACGCCCTTTTGCCCTTTATTAACTTCATAAATAATGATAGGGAAACCAAGGGTAATAAAATTACAGTACCTTCCTTTTCTAACCAGCGATCGAAGCCCCCACTATTTTGTCGAGATAAAAAAAAAGAGGGTAACATAAATATGTCAGCACCACAATTCATTATTATATCAAACAAATTTCTCAAGCCTTAACTTCCCGAGCTTATACTGCTTCAGAGCCTGCACCTGCATATGACACAGAGTTGTAGGAGAAAGGTGCCCTGGGTGCCAGGATGCCCTGCACTAGCAATGCAATTCCAAATCCTGCGAATCTACTCTTATCTCATCTAGGCCAGTGACAGCCAACAGCCTGATTCATTAACTGCCCTTGCGGCCAGGAGGGACGATAGCATCCTGAGGTGCACTGGGGGGAGTGTGGCAGTAGGTCGAGGGAGCTGATCTTCCCCCTCTACTCGACCCTGGTGATCCCACATCTGGAGTGCTATGTCCAGTGCTAGGCTCCTCAGTGCATGAAAGACAAGGAGCTACTGAAGAGGGTCCAGTGGAGGACCACAGGGATGATCAGGAGTCTGGAGCATCTCTTATGAGGAGAGACTGCGGGAGCTGGGCCTGTTTAGTCTAGAGAAGAGCAGACTGAGAGGGGATCTCATTAGTGCAGATCAGTATCTCAAAGGAGATGGTGCCAGACTCTCTTCAGTGATGCCGAGCGACAGGATGAGGAGCAATGGCCGTAAACTAAAACACAGTAAGTTTCACCTCAACATGAGGAATAACTTCCCTGCATTGAGGGTGGCAGAGCACTGAACAGGCTGACCAGGGAGTTGTGGAGTTTCCTTCTCTGGAAACATTCAAAACCTGCCTGGACACATTCCTGTGTAACCTGCTCTGGGTGGCCCTGCCTTGGAAGGGGGTTGGACTGGGTGATCTGCAGAGGTCACTTCCAACCCTAATGATTCTGTGATTCTGTGATTAATGGTGATATTTATTGAAAAACACAAGAACTGAGCTGTGCAACAAAACAGGCTGTTTCAGCCAGACCGCCTAAAATCCTGGTTTACATCGATGTATACAAAATAATGATTAATAAGCAAACGTGCTAAATGTGAAATGCTTCAAACCTCTGTAATTAAGATATCTTTACTTGCAGTAGACAGGCTGCAGTGATTCCTAAACACAATTCCTGCTTACAAAATCAAGGAAGGTACATGCTTCACAGTCCTAACATTAGGATTAAAAAAATAAATAAATAAAAAAAATAAGAAAAATCCTGCCTTAGACCCTCTGCTCACACAGGGGTACTGAGCCACCTGCACCTCCAAGCACTTGCTTTCTCCTAGCCTATGGGTTTGCTGACTGTGCAGGCAGCTTGTGCGGCTGTGGGAACACTTGTAAGTCAGCCATGGTTTACCTATTAAACCTTGGAATTAGCACTGTCAAATCAGGGAAGGTTAACAGACTAATCTAAAGGTAAGCAAGTCAAATCACTGCACAGTCTAGCTGAAGACATTTAGCTGCAGGAATGGAGTTTTTTTTCCTGGCATTTCTATGACAGAAACACGCCTGGCTATGTAATCCTCTTAGTTTTTGCTTTGACGACAGCTGCTGCACCAGAAACTCTTGAGTAAACAAAGGGATTATAACACCACTGCCACTTAGGGAAGGGTGGAGTCCTTATGTTCTCCGGTCCCTGCTCGCAGTGAGCTCTGACCTGGCGTGGTTCCCACTAACCAGGCCAGGCTCATGTCTGGATGCTTTTCAGTATTGGTCAGTTTGCAGAGACTCAGAAGCAATAGCTAAAGCTCCCATAGGAATGTCTAGCAAACTCAAGTGTCTCACAAACTTTCCTTTTCCCTATATCCACACATAAAACATGACCCAAAGGCCTGTTCAGGCTTCTCTGGGGAAAGGACGGAGCCTGCTATAAATCTGCACTGTATTTGTTCTAGCTGCCAGCTTTTACTCAGTCTTCCTTAGTGAGCCTTTCCAGCCCTTTGTGCATGTGTGAGCCCTCTTGGCTGCTTTGGTCTGGAAGAACGCAAAGCACAGTGTCCTCACTCACCCTCTCTAGATCCACCAAGGATGTCTAAATTAATGCTGAACAAGCCTCTTCCCTCTTCAGGCAAGTTTAGGCACCTGACCAGAGGTGAAAAAACCAGCACCTATCCACTGGCTACCTTGGTTGGAAAAGTGCAATACTTAGGCCAGAAATGCACATAGATGCCTACATGCTTTAGAAACAGGTCTTATTCACAGGGTTTCCTTGATCCTTGACCTTACTATAGGTCAGCATCTGATGCTTGAGGTGGCAGTTTTGTCAGGCAGAGCATCTTCCACAAGTCTGTTGCCCTATTTCTTTGGAAATGCTGTTCACATGTGAGTGAGACAGTGCTAAATACTCTCCCCTTTCCCTTGTGCCAGACAAGAAGAACAGAGAGCAGGCAAAACCTGATCTTAGCTCCTGCACAGCAAACAGTGTCCCCAGTTTGACAAAGCACTGTTTGATCTTCTCAGTAGAGAAAGCCAACCCATGGTGTTAGCAAGGGTGCTCTCTGAACAGGTTTTCTTACAGCCTGTGTTAGACCCAGGAATGACCCAGATTCTGCACCAATCTCATTTGCCTTTGATCAGCGCTTCGTTTCTATTGGCAGTGTTTACACCATTTTACACTCTTTGGGATCCTTAAGTTTTTCTTAGCTCAATGTCTAAATCATAGGATAGAAGTTTTACAAGAGATTTAAGTACATGATTATGAAATTACTAGTGATGCTACTGATCTGACCTGTAATTTTATCAAATATTAACTGAAAATTGCTGACTCCACTGATGCTGCTGCTTGTAAATGGAAATTCCCTGGGCTCCCATCAGGGCTCCTTCTGCTAGTGTGAATAAAGGAGCTGCAACTTTCTTACAGATAGACTATACCCACTGGCTTTTGTATTTTAAATTAAAGCCTAGAGAAATAACTCCTGCATTCAGGAACTGTTATTTTTTCTCCTTGCTTACCCAGAACTGCAATAAATACTAACAAAAAAGGGTAAAGAAAATTTCAGTTAAAATTAAGGATATTCAGTTTTGAGATACATAAGTATCCCCTACCAATGTAAGAAGGAATCTTCACTTTTAAGTGAGCTAGCTGTGTGTTTTGTCCCCTGTACATTTCCATGTGTCAGGTATCTCCACTACTGGGAGCTTTGTTTGGCTCTAATATGATTCTTTGAAGGCTACATGGACCAGAAGTACACAACCATTTCTATAACTGGTGGCCTAACATCAAACCATTTTGGCTTCTGTGTATGCATATATACAGTTTAAATCTAAAGCTGTGGTTTTCTGAAATTAATAGCTACGAAGAACAGAATTTTAAAATTATAAAACAAAAATAAGCATTCAACCACCTGAAGGTTAGTTTAGCCATATGATGAATGCATGCATCCCAGGACAGGTACTGGAGTGGGTACCTCCACTTGCCAGCACCTGCCACCACTTGCTTCCAGTGGTACATGCAAAGTGCTGCCTTTATACAATATTTCCTGATTATAATACTTCCAAATATTTACAAGGTTGTAACTAGCAATTTAAGCTGTAAATAAACAAGCATAAATTGTTTTTCTTCCCCACCTGTAATGTTTGCGACCTCTGTTTATTATCATCTTCCTTTTTATTGTCAAATAATAACTGTAGGTAGAACAGCAAGTCAAGAATGGCCTTGTCCATTTCAGTCAAGGCTTTCAGACTTGCAGTGTTTATTTCAGGGCCAAAATTCTTCCAGCCATCTAAAAATCTGCTAACAAATAATCTAGATATAATGCTGTGACTCATGTCTGAAGTTCATACAAGGATCTCAAAACTGTATCTGAAAACCCAGGTGGAGAAGGTGGTGGTCACCATGTGTCTCTCTGCCATCACCTTCTGTTTTCCTTACCATACTGATTGCCTGCAGTGATAAAATTAAGCAGGAGCCTGATAGTGGTGGCTCTGACTTCCTGGTTTGTGCATGCTTGCACTGAGAGAGGCGTGAGATGTCGTTTTGTCCTTACACTCTATGTCTTATTGTGGGGTTTGGCACCTCCTGCCTCTCCCTTGCGTTCCTGAGCTGCCTGTCAGTCTGAGTGACAGTCCTCAGCTAGCAAACGGAGTATAAAAGGGAGACAGCTCTATGCTTTGTACTACCAGGAGGATTTCTGAGCTTCCAGTTGCCTTATCCCTTTTCAGTGTGTTTGCTGAGAGAATAACTCATTCCTGTCATGGCTAATGGGTAAGAGAAAATCATACTAATGCTTCTCTAATGCAAAGGGCAGCGGGGATGGGATATATTGTTCTGGTAGATGCATAAAAGGGAGTTACATGAAATGCAGCACAGCAGTAACCCCACTTCCTGTTTCCATTCTATTTCACCAACTCAGATTACGAAATGGGAGAGAAGTGAAACATAAGCTGCTTTAGCTAAATTAAGTTCATGCTGAGATCAGATTTTGCTTAAACATAGCTGATAACATAGAATTGGTTCTCCAAACATGACCGTGCCTTCCCAGGGCTCTGACAAAGTGTTTGC